AATCTGTTAGTCTTTAAGGTGCCACCAGACTCCTTGTTGTTTTTGTAGATACAGACTAACACGACTACCCCCCAATATAAGATACAGGTAGTTCATCTCTGTACTCTCTGCAGGAGGACACGGCATGATGTCAGGACTGGCTGGAGCCTACCACCAGACAAAGGAGGGATCAAAGGGACAGGCATAGAAGAAGGGAAAGTCAGGGGGGCCCTTCTGTAGTGAGAAGAAAAGGATTGCATTTCTCACCCCTCAGCCATAGAGCTTTCACAGAAAAGAGACAAAGAGAGGGGATAAAGCAGGATGGTTCATTCCATCCTTGTCCTGTCTGCTGGGATGGCCATTGTACCGACCCTCACCTTGTGTCACTGAACTCTAGATCTCCATGATAGGTCTCTACCACCATGTGACACCATCAGGGGTGCAGATTGCGTTATGGATACCTGCCAATTGAGAAATGATTCAAGAACTCTCAACCTACTATGAACAGGCGATGAAACAGTAATAACCCTTGGTCCCTACTATCGTAGGTGGGATTGGAAAGGGCAGTCTACAGGCGAAAGGCTCTGTAGCCTAGCACGAAGCCTTCCAGCCATCTACGAACATGATGATACTTAATTCAACTACATTTACAGACAATGCGGTAAAGTGGCTGTAGGATGTGAGCAAAGACCTGAGAAATGCTGGATGGATTAAAGATTGCACCAACGATAAGCCTCATTTGTCCTCCTAAGCCTGGCCAATGTAGAATGTACTCCGTTAACAGAGTTACAGCTTGTAAAAATGAAGCTTTAACACTGCACTACCTTTTATGAGCTGGATCTTCAATTAAACCCCGTTTTCAATGATTAGAATTGTGATTTTAAAACAATTAAATGGAAAGTGAGTCAGATTTCTCCAGGATAAACGTATCACCAAAAGAGCAGAGGGATGTTTTCAGACCAGTACATAGTTGTTAAATTCTGATGGAACTTGATCAGATTAAGCACTGCAAAAAACAACAACAACAACAAAAGGAGAAGCTTCAGCATCAGATCTTCAGGGGGTCAACCAGATTTCATCGCTCTCACATAACCTTCAACCCTGCACTTTACTCCAGGTAATCAGACCTCCATTGAAATCAGTGGAGCTCCATGTGGGTGCTGGATCAGGACCCTAAAGAAGAAGGAAAGGGCATAAAGGTGAAAGGAAAACATGATAAGAGACTTGGGGGTGAATGCTATGGTTTCACTACTACAGTGATGGGTGCTATGCAGCAGGGGTGTCTTCTTGGGGGTTGTTACCAACTTGTCCTTTTTAGATTGCTAAAGAAGAGAGAGATCCTGGCACAGTCCTGTCTAGATGGGCGATGAATCTGGCTGGGTTGTGTTCCCTAGCATGGAAAAGTTTGAGATTCACTGATCTAGAGCCATCTAACTGAGATAGATGGATAGATTAGGTGGATAAACGGAGGCAGAGTAATGGAGCTATGTATATACAGTAGAAAAAGCATAAAAATAGGAGAAAAGTATTTTCAGATTTAAAAGGAAAAGGAAATGAAGAGAGAAAAGAGCTGAAGAAAAGACAATATAGAAAGCAAAGAGGCAGGTTGAGAAGACAGTGAAATGGGGCTAACTGGGTAGCTAGAATTGGAATGGCAAAACTAACAAGCTCAGAATGGAGGGCCTGATTCTCGCCTGCTTTGCACCTCAGTTGGTATAAATCGGAGCAGCGTGAGCTGCATCAGTTTTCATCAGTTGAGGATCTAGCCATTAGCAACCCTGCTAGCATGGGGACTGATCCAAATCCCTTTGAAGTCAATGGGAATCTTGACACCAGTGGCCTTTGGATCAGGCCCATAGTGCATGGTAACAACAATGCAGATTGTCCCCCATGTGGGAAAAACCCCTGGACGGTACAGGCGACTGTTTTCCCCCGTGGAGTTCTCTCTGGATCATCCTTAGGGAGCGTGGCATTTTATGTCCCTCCCCTATGAAAGAAAATACAAGGGGTTTAGAGCCCCAAACCTACAGATCCTCCTAGAGGTAGAGGGGATATTTGGACCTCCAATGGCTGCACTGGATTTGCATGTTTCCAGTGGGGGGTATGATATCACTGGAATAACAGTGGTATGGCTGAGCCAGGCAAATAACTGGGGATTTTAATCAGCAGGCAGAGTTTACTGAAGGGATAAGCAGAATAAAACAGGAGGAGAACGGCAATGCTATTTGTTGAAGGTTATTATTGAGTCGGATGGAAAAATTGATCTAACCATTTTGGCTCACCTAAGAGACATCAGTGGTGTTCGTATCTGGAAAATGTTAATTGTGAGGCAGAGTGAGTTTACTTTGCAGTTGGTTTTTGTGCATAATGTATGGTGTGGATTGCAACCTCCCACTGAAATCTCTTTGAGTTTTGCCATTCACTAAAATGGAAACAGGTCCTTGCCGTTTTCTGGAGGACTGTATCATTTGTCTGAGCCAGGGGTGTGTACCATTTGTATGAGCACTTGCACCCAGAGTTGTGTGATTATTTTTCACCACTTGTGGTACATCACTTTTTTTCTTTTTTACAGTTTGTAGAAACACTTCCATCCCCAGGAATTTTCACTGGAATCGTTAGATTTCTGCTGCAGCCAAAAGGGTAGTATTTATTATTTATTGTTTATTATATTTATTTGTTATTCTTTGTAAAGCCACAGACCCACAAGCAAGATTTGGACCCCTTTGTGTTAGGTGACATATGTTAAGAGACAATGACAATCACTACCTCCCAAAGAGCTTACTATCTAAATAGACAAGACAGTCAAAGAATTGGGGATAAGGGATATAACATAGAAACAGAATGAACAATATGATGGTTTGCAAATGTCATGTTAGTTCCATGATTATTGTTCTGTTCTTTTCTTTTTTAATATTTTGAAGTGGGTGCCATTGAAATTCCTCCCGGATCACTCTAAATGCGAGCAAGGCCTGCAAAGGCCAAGATGGTTATGTTAGGAAGATAGAGACTGATATAAGCGATAAACAGAGGGCTTTAAAAAACTGAAAACAAATGATCGGGGGTCTGACTTGCATGGGAGTTTTGGGTACACAAGGAATGCTTCAGCAAGCCCTGGTGAAGAGGAAGAAGTGTTGTCTCTGGCTGATCTATTAAAAATAAGCAGAAGCAAGTTATAAAACAATGCAGTGGAGCGGAAAAGAAACGCTGACTTTCTTTTCAAGGCAAAATTTTGGGGTAATCAGAATTTTGTTATGCATTTCTTAAGATAGTCAATTTAATCTCTCTCCCGCCCCCCTCTCTTTCCATGCATAAAATCAAGCATGTGAAATTTTTCTTAGGATATGAGGTAACAAGTTCCTATTACCTAGAAATTTTGCCTTGGATAACCGAGAAAAATTTCCTAGGGGAAGAAAAAGGCAAAGAATACTGGAGAATGATTTTGGTTTAATCAGCCATAGGTACTGTAGTGACAGAAGTGAATTCAAGTACTAGATTATCAAGAAACACTCACATATGGGAATAACAGTGTTGCTTCCTACTGTCTAAGTAGTTTGGTTATCAAGGACCTAATCCAGAGGCCATTGATATCAATGGAAAGACTCTGATGGATTTCAGTAGGATTTGGATCAGCCCCCATCTGTGCTCTGCTTTTCTTCCGGATGTTCCTATGCCCCTTAGATGTCCATTGGTGGAGGTTTTTTCTTCCAGAGAGGCAGTAATTCCCTAAGAGAAAGTAAGAGTGCCCACGCTTTTATTTTTCTAGTGTAGGGTCAGACCAGGAGGGGATCCACCATTCAGGAGTCTCCTCCTCTGTCTCTAACTCAGGTCTCTATGTTAGATCTGAAAGAAGGGTTGAAGGGAGATAAAATTGGGCCTTCCTTCTGGGTTAATCCTGTCCTCCCTCCCCCATGTCTCCTCGTCCCAGGTGCTGGAGTGCTCCACCACGTGTTATATCTTACTCTTGCATCGTTCTTTAATCATCAGAAGCACCAATAACTATGGGTTTGGGGAACATCTGACCTGACCTCTGCTATTGAGCCATTTGCTTGATTAACCAGATGCTGAGACACCCACCCTAAGGCTAGGTCTACACTACCTGCCTGAATCGGCGGGTAGAAATCGACCTCTCGGGGATCGATTTATGGGACGCGACAATTGATCCCCGAATCGACGCTCTTACTCCACCAGCAGAGGTGGGAGTAAGCGCAGTCGACGGGAAGCCGCAGAGGTCGATTTTGCCGCTGTCCCTACAGCGGGGTAAGTCGGCTGCGATACGTCGAATTCAGCTACGCTATTCGCGTAGCTGAATTTGCGTATCTTAAATTGACCTCCCCCCGTAGTGAAGACCTGCCCTAAGCTACTCCTCAAGGGCACTGCCTTCTCCTCACTCACAGGGCCGGCTCTGGCTTTTTGGCCGCCCCAAGCAAAAAAAAAAAAAAACGGGGCAGCACAGAACGGCAAAGCAAAAAAAAAAAAAAAC